CAGTTTTTGCATAATATATATTCTCGGTCGAGCCGAAGCACTTTTATGTGAACCCACGCGGCAGATCAAATCTCTGACCGTTCTCTTTTACCATGGGCTCTATCGGCGGTTACACTACAACGAAGGTTCAACGCCATGAACCTTACGAGATCATTGACCAACCGAGTCGCTCGCGTCGCAAGATCCGAATCATTGTGATCGGAGCGGGTGCAAGCGCATTGAATTTTGCGCACGATATTGACCAGAGCACATTGGACATCGAGTTGGTTCTGTATGAGAAAAACCCCGAGATTGGGGGCACTTGGTTTGAGAACCGGTACCCCGGATGTGGATGTGACATTCCCTCGGTGAATTATCAATTCTCGTGGGCGCCTTCTCCCGACTGGACCTCATTGTACGTATCGACAAGACTCCATCTTCACCGACTGATTAGCTGACGTGAGCCGGTATAGCTACTCGGGCGCACCGGAGATTTTGAAGTACTTCAAGCGAGTTGCGGACGAGCACGGATTGCACAAATATATTCACCTCAGCCACCGAGTCGTAGGGGCATCTTGGAATGAACATGACGAACAGTGGCATGTGAAGGTGCAAAGAGGTGACAATCCCGAAGATGTCTTTGAGAATCGAGGTCACATCCTGGTCAACGCATCCGGCGTGTTGAAGTAAGTTGAACCACTAACTCCTCAGTGCAGTGACTGAGCCACAAGCTGAATATCCTGGCGTGAATAGCAAATGGAAATGGCCTGCCATCTCAGGGCGAGAAACCTTCCAGGGTCCGATGCTTCATAGTGCGCACTGGGATGACCAAGTCGAGTTGGAAGGGAAACGCGTGGCAGTCATCGGCTCAGGATCCTCGGCGGTGCAAATTGTTCCAACCATCCAACCATGTGAGTTTTACGGGGAAAATTGATTCGAGATCCGCTTTTCTCACAAAGTAATACAGTGGTGTCGTCCCTGAAGTGCTTCATCCGCAGCGCATCTTGGGTGACTGCGGGATTTGGCCGGCGGTTCGCAGGAAAGGGAGGGACGAACTTCAAATGTCAGTCTCCTTTGGCCCTCTTCTGTGAAACCCACGGCACGACGAGCTAATGGCCCTTTAGATACTCCAAAGCAGAAGAAGATACTTCAAAATGACCCTCAGAAATATCTGGCTTATCGAAAGAAGATCGAATCGGAGCTTAATTCACGTTTCCGATTCATCCTCAATGGCTCGGAAGAGCAGGCCAACGCAAGAGCGGTACGATCTAATCCCGTTCGCGGTGGACGCAAGAATACACCCAATACTAACTATGGATATGCAAATCAATTAGTACGCGGAGAAAGACATGCGATCCAAGCTCGCCAGTCGGCCTGATATCGCTGAGCACATTGTGCCCAAGGACTTTGCCGTGGGTTGCCGTCGGCCTACCCCCGGAAATGGATACCTCGAGGCACTCTGCAGCGACAACACCGAGGTCGTTTCGCAGTCAATCGCAGAGATCACCCCGAAGGGTATTAAGACTGCCGACGGTGTTGAGCATGAAGTTGACGTGATTGTGTGTGCCACTGGATTTGATGTCAGTTGGCGGCCATCGAATCCTACAATTGGCAGGGAATCCCGCAGTCTTGGTGAACAGTGGAAGGAGATTCCGAGGACCTACCTTTCCATCACCGTCCCCAACTTCCCCAACTATCTCAGTAAGGATCCAGTCACCTATAACGTTTCTTCAGGGGACACAGTCCGCTAATAGGATTTGCATCATGGATAGTCTTCAACGGCCCTTTTGGCCCATATGGTCACGGAAGCTTTCTCCCAATTACAGAAACCTTGTCGCGTCACTTCCTCCAGATTCTCGAGAAAATGTCATCGGAGGGTGTCACCTCCTTCGAACCCAGAGCCGAGGCAGTCGCGGAATTTTTCGAGCATCATAGAGAATTTATGCCCCGCACAGCGTGGACATCCCCCTGTCGTTCTTGGTTCAAGCAGGGTACTGTGGATGGCGAGGTCATGATGTGGCCGGGCTCCAGAATCCATTTTTTCGAAACCATGAAACAACCCCGATGGGAAGACTACCATCTTCGATACACGACAAACAATCGATTCGGATACCTGGGGAATGGGTTTGCCGCCCGCGAGTTTGATGGAAGTGATCTGTCTTGGTACCTCGGGACTTTGGAGGGTAACGAACGGGCTTACCTTCCGGATGAGGATTTTACAGATTTCATGGTGTACTAGATCTGGTGGTAGTATCTACAACGAGGAATACTTCATTCTTTTAGAACGCTTGCAAGACTTTGTGGTCATCACAGAAGCCGACAAGCAAATAGGATTAGGGGGCGCACACTAAAGTGCCTCTAAGTTCTCGAGAAATGGTCCCGTTGGTTGCTAAGACAAAATTCTTGTCTTTGATTGACGAGGTCCCTCTCATTATTAGTACCATGTTATTGATTCTTCAAATGATACAGGTTATACGCATCCCATAGAGCCCTATTCTCCAAATAAAAGGAACTATAAATCAAGTCTGGAAGAGCCGAAACTTATCGAGACGCGACTTCTCACCAAGTACAACAACTAAGACCACAAGGCTCACCACAGCAAATGTAGTGTTCTTAGATCAATTGAACTACCAGAATTATGTGAGGCTCGTGACGTGATATTTGCTATCTCAATCGAATCATAATCGGGTCCCATACCACTGCAGCGCTGCTTGACTTTCGTCCCCTAGGCCACGGGCCACACCCTGTTGCAATAGCTGCAGCGTAGTCGCTGTAATCGGTAGAGGGTGGTTGTAGTACTGAGCGAGAATCGTGGCTTGCTTCTAAACATTGAATTAATAGATGGCACACATATGTGAGGAAGAATATACTGACCAGTATTTCCCTCGACTGTATCAAAGTACGTGGTGAAGCACCTTTTTGTCCCATAATTGTCGCGACCACTAATTCAAAGCTTTCGCTTGCACCCGCTGCATCTGAAATTATTGGTTTCAGAGCCTTGAGTGAGAGACCAAGTTTGCTCCCAAGGGCAATGGCTTCAATTGCTGCAACGCCGTGAACAATCTCCAGCATTTGGCAGATAAGCTTCGACTTGCGTTCATGATCAGCAGTGTGGTCTTTTCGGTGTGTCGCCTTGGAATCCAGTGACAAATCCTGGGGAATAAATATTCGCACTAGGCCAGAATCATCTTCCTTGTCATAAACAGTCTGCGCAGCAAATTGGTAAAGACCCTCCGCGGTGGAGGCGATGTATAGTGGGAAGTTCTCATTGAGGCCTTCCGAAGTGACAATCCGCTACGACCAGGGTTAGAAATCTCGAATACCTACGATAAAGTGCAATATGAGCTGACATACCATATCTTTGACGAATATGCTGAGAGCAGAGTGGGGCGACCAGTCATCGCAAAGCATGTGCGGCACTCGGTTCTCAAACATCCAACTATGGGCAGGGCTTTTCAACACAACACTGTCATAGAATTGCTTTGTATTCAATCCCATCGTCGCCGCTAGTCCCATTGCCTCTGCTGCCATGGCGATATGGACGCCCGCAAGATGCTGATTGATAAGCTTGACTTTGTTGGCACTGCCGAGCCCCCCCTCAATTGTGTATAGCGTTTGGCTAAGCGACTGCAAGATTGGGTGGGCAAGGCTTAGGGCATCCTGGGGTCCCGATGACATGATTGTCAGCGTGCCCTGAGCTGCACGGAGCACCCCGCCAGATACAGGACAATCGATCAGATTGACATCAGTCCTCGAGAATTTATTATGGATCTGGTTCAAGATCTTTGGTGGGAAGCTCGGGGCAACGGTGGAGCATAATATAATAATTGCATTCTTCTTCAGACCGAAGACTGCACCGACTCCTTCGGTGAAAAGTACCTCCTCTGTCTGCATGGAGTTGGCTACCATGCAGATGAAGACATCGGCGTCTTGAACGCAATCTCGCGGACTTGAGGCGGCGGTGCCGCCCATGGCTAGTAATGTCTCGAGCGACATGGGATTGATGTCGAACCCACAGACGGGAAACCCATCGTTGAGCAGTTGTATGGCCATACCCCTACCCATTGCGCTGAGACCGACAAACGCGATCTTGGGTCTGACATTGACAGGTGGCTTCGCCATAGTGTTTGTTCTGAAGTGGAATGGAGGCCGCGAGAAATGGGTCGGGTTCGACGACTCACGGTTGCATCAACGCCACGGAAAGTGCAATATCGACGGTGGTTTTGGTACCTCCAGGGTCAAGCCTGGCGTCTAGACTAGATTTCTGCCTCTTTCCGGGCCTTTTCAAGTCTCCCAGACGGACTGTTCGGGTGAAAGACAGATCAACCCTGCCACTCCATCACTCCATTACTCCACCACTCGATCACTCCACTTCACTCCACCTCGCTCCACATCGGCTCACTCCACCCGCCTGTTATCCCCTCACTTTTTGCGCTACAATAGACGCACCCTCACCTCCACCACAAACATCAAGTCCTGTGGTCAAGTAGTACGGACGTATCCCAGATCCTGTGACGCGTCACAGCTCAATTGGAAAGAGGGGAAGGAGGAGGGGAATTCCTGAGCATGATGCCGCACCCGAATTTCTCAGTCCAGCGTATGAGTATGGCGCTTACCAGAATAATCGAGAAGGGTTTTTGATTACATGGTAACTCGGAGGAACTCAATACGTCCCTGCTCGGCATCCCAATGTCCCATTATCTGCAGAATAATTGCTGCGTAGCTAGGTGGATACTCCTCAGCTCCTCGCCCATACGTCCATTAATCCGCTGGCAAGTCCACCGGATTGCACATTTAGCAGGAAGACCGCCAACTCAGCCAAACTATTTGACAAGATAGCGCGCTGAAATAATAAAACCTCGACTCATCGGAGTTCTTCCGCTTGCTGTAGAGAGAAATAGTAACAGCATGTTAATACAAGACCCGCTACAGCTATCCAAGACAGTCACAGATCCTCGCTCGATATCGAGCACGCTCTAAACACAATGATACAGGCGATCCCGTCCGTCGTCAAACTCTACCGCCCGTGCAAGACCCATTACAGAACATAGCGGAAGGCCGGTTGCTCGAAATCCGTCAAATCAAGGAACTCAGTGCCAACAACAACGCTCTCACCGTCGTCGGGGTTAGAAAGCGCCTGTCGGTCACGTCTCTTATTCTCTAGAATGTTCACCAGACGAATAGCCAGTAGGGTCGCCGCTGCAAGGGCGTACATGATGGCTACCATCATCTTGCCATCAAAATACTCGGGCGCTTGGTTCGAGCGGAAGGTCTGCGGTCCAATCCAGTTTCCCGCGGCGTAGGCCAGTATCTGGAGGCCATTGACTGTGGCCTTCTTGGTGTAGCCCAGGGTATTGTTGGATATCATCACCATGACCAAGCACCAGGAGGTTCCAGCAGCGCCGATAAAGTAGTAACCCATCAACAAACCAGCTTTGGCATGAAGGGGAAGGACAATCATCAAGATGCCGCCGACCATGGGTATGAGAATGGCGATGATGGCAAAAATGGTGCGATCCAGGAATCTGTCGGAGAGATATGTCAACCCCAACTTGCAGACAATGTCGACAAGCCCCATTGGCATATTGAGTAAAAGGGACATGCGACTGGAGAAGCCGAAAGAGCTGATCACGAGGGAACCGAAGGTGGTGATGCCTCCATTGGGGATATTCATCAAGAGCGAGAAGAGCACGTAGAGATACGTGCGCGAATCACGGAAGGCTTCGAAGAAGTGGGCCCATTTCCAAGTATGGCTACCGATGCCTTGGAAATTGCCCCGGATGCGATCCACAGCAATGAGCTTCTCACGATGGCTCAGGAATCTGGCGTGGATCTGATCGTCGGGGATAAACCAAAAATATAGTGCGCCGGTAAGAATGGTAGGGAGGCCCAGCACGAGGAAGAGAATCTTCCACACCGCAATGGAAGCCGTCTGCACCCCCGACAGTCCATACGCGATTGCCGCAATCAGGATCTGGGCGAAGCCGTTGCACGCAAGCCAGAAGCCCATGCGCTTGGCCTGTTCATCTTGCTTGTACCAGCAGGAGGTGAACAGCACGAAGGCCGGAGTGACTGTCGCCTCGAACGCGCCGAGGAAAAAGCGGACGCAAAGCAGGCCGGCGTAACTGTTGGTCGCGACGTGACAGAGGAGCACGACACCCCAGATCAGAATATTGAAAGAGGTATATTTCCCTAGCGGAAGTCGGCGTAGCAGATACGTGGTGGGAAACATATACCAAAATCAGCATGGATTAGGGCACAAAGGCAAAGGCACGGAGGAAGGCGTGCCAGGGTACATACTCCCAAAAGATGTATCCAGCGTAGAAAATGCTCGACACCCAGCTGTATTGCTGCGAGTTGGGGTCCAAGTGCGTGTGCTCGCGGATCCCCATCAGGGAGGCATAGTTCAAAGACGTTTTATCGGCAAATTGGATCAGATAGACCCAGCACAGCAAAGGCATCAGAACTCGATCGATTTTGGACAACACTGTGCGGGACTCTTCGGGCGTATATTCGATCGCTGCTGCAGCCAGAAACTGTAGGGCTGGGTCAACGTCTCCTGTGCCTCCATGCTTGATCTCACCAGGCTGGACTTCGGTGTCTGGTTGCTCCACGTCGTCATTTGGTGGACCTCGAGAGACCTTTTTTTCGCTGGGTTGGGTGGTCATACTGCCTTTTGTCACACTCATCTGATCCCTTGGGGTAGAGAATTTTCAGTTCTCGGACTCATCGTCGCTCCTTAAATGGCCCCATCTGCTGACCCGATAAGAATGGAATACAAGACTCCTGGATGTCCAAGACATATTAGTTTGCTCCAAAGATAGACATTTTGCGGGGGTGGTGAAGCTCCATCAGCCGGCAAGTTCTTATCTTTCCTGAGACTGAGAGATGATGCGGGGTTGGCGTGAATTACCGTAGATAAGACCTTATTCTCGGCCCTCCAGCAAAGAAGTGACTTTGAAGTGGCAATAGAAGTTGTCATAAAGCACTACTACACAGTTTGAAGAGATAGTATGATTTGAACAGTCATGAAATACCCTTTTCAATGATATTTCCGTGTATGCACTACCTAAGTTACGAGATCTGCATTACTCATTCGCAGCGGAAATAGAGGTCTTCAGTGATAAGACGTAATTTACGTAACAGACGCTCCACAGAGATATTAGAGACAAAGTCTTCAATTACTGTGCTGTCTTTGGTTGAAACGCTTGGGTCAGATTTCACTGTGCGTAGTCAACCCCATCCCAAGGTTCCAGAGCATGTCAGTCGCTTTGACATAACAAAGTCCAAAGTCAAAGAATTTCGAGAACAGGAATATGGCAACGTCAGTGCACCAGGTTTGGGCAGAGACAAAATTTGGTCAATGAGCGTGCAATTAAGCTACTCCTGGCTGACAAACAACCTGATGGATGCACTCGGCCACATACCGCACATTACCCTCATACAGACCAGCTATAGAAATTCTCGAGCTTTCGGTCATGTAAATGTGATATTCCTCTAGTTTCAAAATGCGTATAAGCTTAGTTCAGTCTTGTAGTCATAGACTTATGGTGATCGACTTACCTTTTAGGTCGTGAACTTGCTCGGGTGTAAGACCGAGCACGCAAAACATGCCTTTCTGCTGCATGATTTTCTTCCAGTCGCCCGGGATATCTGTTGAAAAAATGAGCTACTGGGCTCACAACCTGCCGACAAGGGGAGGGTCTTTGCAATACCTAGCGCTGTCAATTCATCACTTAACTGCTTCCTCATTCCAGTAATGCGCGAGCTCATCGTGGTAAGATCACGCCGCCACTGAGACGATAGGCCATCGTTTGCTAGAATTGCCGTGACGACACGAGCACCGAATGCCGGAGGATTGGAGATTTCGCCGCGAATTAACTGCGCTAAACTTGACTCCACATTATTGGCGATGTTGTGGTTGCGTGATACAAAAGCACACAGCCCGGTCCTCTCGCCTACGAGAATGAGCAGGTGCATGTTAGAAGGGAATGGAGCATTGTATTCGAGCTCCGACTCTCAAGTGACTCGACTGAAATGACACTCAGTCAATGGAAAAACATACCATAGAGTCCCATGCTTTTGGCGAAGGAAATACAGACACCCATCTCCAGATCCAACTCCTCAGCAAAGTACCGGATGGCATACGCGTCTTGCTCGTAGTCTCCGGACGTCAATCCCAAGTACGCAGCGTCAAACAAAGGGAGTAGGCTTCTCTCCTTCATGATAGCACCTATCTGTCGCCATTGTTCTGGACTAGGATCCCACCCAGTTGGATTGTGTGCGCTAGCATGAAGCACAAAGATTGACAATGGGTCTGCCTCAGTTAAGGCTCGAAGTAGCGACTCCATGCCAATCCCGTCCCTCGACGCATAATCGAACTCTCGAACTGAGAAACCCACTGATTCGAAGACCATTCTGTGATTGGACCAGCTCGGATTGGTGATGTAGACGGTTCGATCTTGACCAAGTGCCCGCCTGAGCAACATTCCTGCCACGTGTAGTGCTCCGGTACCCGATAATGCCTGACAAGAGGCGACCTGTAACGAAATGGTTAGCAAGTGGAATTTCTCGTGGCATCAAGACGGCTCAGGATAATTCACTCGACTCTCGCGAATAACGGTGGACTCCTTCCTGAAGACCAACTCCGTAACTAGTCTGCGAAAAGGTGGATGGCCCAGGATTGGAAGGTATTCGTGGTTGCAATTCTTGATCGCATCCTTGGCTGCTTCAACCGCTGGAAGTACCCAGGGATGTCCATCGCCATCTCGATAGGTACCTTGGCCTAGATTCACTTTGCGAGTGTCTGGGTCGGCTATATAGGCTTTGGTGAGTTCGAAGATCGCGTCCGGTGGCGTATAGGCCACGGTCGCAAAGACTGAAGACTTTGATGACATTGCACAGGGGAATCAGGAAGAGGGAAAATGACAAGGTGAAGACAAAAGACTTCAAATCGGTGGGGTGATTTTGATCTTTCAATGCGGGGACGCCCTGTCTTGATAGCGAGTCGAGTTGGAATGACAAACGGGTGGAGCTCCACTCTACGAAGGTGAAACGAGATAAGGAGCGTCATCAGCGTCGATAGGTCGATAGATAAATCGATGATCCTACGACGGATTGACTCGTTAGTTCTAATCAAATTGTTCCAAGGTCAGAAACCACAGTTCTTTCGATTCCAACATTTGCCAACCGCCATGGCTCCACAGAAGCCGAATTTCGGTGTATACACACCGTTGGTGACCTTCTTTGCCAAAGACGAAGCTGTTGATCTTGAAAGCACCTTGACACATGCAAAGCGTATGGCTGAAGGAGGTGTCGCTGGACTTGTTCTCCAAGGCAGTAACGGCGAAGCACCGCACCTGGATCACGACGATCGCAAATCCCTTGTTCGCGCGGTGCGCAACCATCTCAACGGGTTGGGACATGCGCAAATCCAGCTGATCGTTGGTTGTGGCGCATCCAGCGTCCGTGAAACACTGACGCATATCACCGAGGCTGAGGAGTCTGGCGCCGACTTTGCATTGGTCTTGCCCCCGTCATATTGGGTCGCAGCGATGACCCCTCCTGTGGTCGAAGGGTTCTTTAACGAGGTATCGATGATGTCTCTCTCGCTTCTTAGTCACTTCAGATGAACAAGTCAGCCTAACTCACTATGATTCAACCATACAGGTAGCATCCCGTTCTCAACTTCCAATCCTGATCTACAACTTCCCTGGTGTCACCGGTGGTATCGACATAACTTCCGACTCGATCATCAGGCTGGCCCAGTCCAACTCCAATATTGTCGGTTGCAAGCTCACCTGCGGCAATGTCGGTAAGCTGCAGCGTATCTCATCCACCCTGTCTGCAGACTCCTTTGCCGCGTTCGGAGGAAAATCGGATTTTTTCCTGCCCGCCTTAGTAGCAGGATCCAACGGAATCATCGCGGCTCTTGCCAACATTGCCCCAAAACTGCACGTGGAAGTGCTGAGGAGATATGAGAATGGTGACATCAAGAGTGCGCAAGAGCTCCAATCCCGGCTCAGTCATGCAGACGACGCCCTCGTTAAAGTGGGCGTGACTGGTGTCAAAGCCATCGTGTCTCATTATTTCGGGTATGGTTCGGGGCAAGGACGTAAGCCCCTGGGGTGCCCTACCGTGGATGCCTTTAGTGCAAGTGTTCTGGACCCCATTCAAAGGGTGGTTGATCTGGAGAGAATGTGTAAATAGACCAGGAACCTGCGGTGTAAAAGCAGTTTTAATAAAATAAATAATGGAACTCATTCATCTCAGCCACGATCGCAAGCTTTATGCTGTATAGCGGATGTAGGTTCAAGTAGGCCTCAGGAGGACGTGGTCATGCTCCAGCTGGGCATGCCCCGTAGACAGCGAAAACAATCGGCAAGTAAATGCTGATTTGATAAGGTAACCATGAATGAGATTGTTTAAAAACTTGACAAGAACTATACTAGGAAAGAGATTCGTTTCCCTGCCGACTATTCGCACTCCAGAATGACAGCCCCGCCTCTAGCCGCGCAGTGCCGTAGATAGCCGAGCTGTCCAAATTCTCGCCGGCATACTCGCGTGCAGTGTTCAGCCGTTTGGACGCCGTTTCGAGCGTGCATAGACGGGCATGACAGCTGTCGGCAATAGACAGAGCATGTTTCATGTCCTTACATGCGAGCGCGGCGGCGAACCCAGGCGCTGTGTCTAAAGGAGGTGCATAGGCTCCACTCGTGATGCGTCTGCTGTAACTCTGCAATGCCGGCCCAAACATGTTTCCAATGAAGTCTTCCATCTGCTGGGTGCCTACTCCTGCGGCCTCGGCAAAGACCTGTGCTTCAGCGATGACCTCCATGAAGCTGATGACGAGGATGTTCCTTCGTTGAGATGACAGGTAAGTGAGTGAAGGTTGACCAAATGAGGAAAACGTTGATGTATTTACCCCGAGATTTTGAGGAGACTTGATTTCCGCACATCTTCTCCCATATCAATAATGCTGCGTCCCATGACATCCATGATAAGAGGTCGGACTCGCTCGACTGCTCCAGTAGGACCAGCCACGGCGAATATGAGATTTCCAGCAGCTGCTACGGGACTTGCGCCGAACACGGGTGCTGCAATGAATGTCGCACCGTGGTTCTTGAGATGCCTCGCTGCCCATTCGGATGTGTCTGGGTGAATAGTGGACGTGTCAACGAAGATCTTACCCTCGAGGGAGATCCTCGTGGCCGCAGCCGCTTCCAGGAGGTCTTGCAAAACATCGTCAGTGGAGATCTTTGAAGCTGTTAGTGTCTTCTTGAAAGCCGGATATTGGAAGCCGATCCAGCAAATGCCGCGCGCACCATTGTAAAAATGACTTCTGACTTCTGAACTAGTGCACCGAACTCTGCTTCAGGCACAGCCCCTGCATCACGAAGAGCATAACCTTTGGCAATTGTCCTGTTGCTGTATCGAAGCGGAGGTAATTCTTTTGCTTGCAAGTATCTCTGGAGGTTCAATGACATGCCAAGACCCATGGATCCGAGGCCATACTACGGCCATCAATCATAATGGTGTCAGTCACGTGCATACAAGTGGGATCCGCTATTTGAACCTACCCAGCCAACTTGGGGGGTTGATTGACTCATTCTTGTTGAATTGCAAATCGAGATTAGTGGTCGAAAGAACTTGTGAGAGTATTATGCGGGAGATGCACCGAGCCCATGCGGTTGTCTTAAATGAACCATGGCTAGAAGGCGGCCGCGCAGATAGCCAAAGCGGGGTATGAAGCGGCAAAGCGTGTTGGCCAAGTGGAGCTCCACATGTCCACGACTATGAGATAGCGTCGTCGGGGAGTTCTCTCAGTACAGCCAACATAGACGGCCCAATACTCCACACAAGTCGCTGCTGACAGAAGGACTTGACCATGTCTGCAAATAACACCTGCGCTTCCTCTAGCAGAGTAGAAACGGTATCCCGGTCCGTAGACCACAAGCGTGGATCGCGAACCCCCCGATCTTGTCTGGTGGCCGGGGAGTACCGCAAGGCGGCTTCCATCAGTGCGTTGAAGATCAGCATACATGGCTCGGATGTCCGTGGGAGTTCATTGAATGTATTCAAGTGGTCACGGATCTCGGTTGTTGCACGCCTGAGCGCTCCCCAAATACACAGAAGGATTCCGTAGCTGGTAACTGTGACCCACGGTGCTTCATAAGAAAACCTTTGCGGGTCGTCGCCGTATATGCTGGCAAGTGCAGCAGAAAGCTCACTGAGTAAGGATAGCACACCTTCATTGCCGCCAGGTCGAGGTGCCACCCAAGGTGCGGATCGTCGAACCGCGACGAAGTTACCTCGCATCAGATGGGTTGATGCAGCCAGGCCGGCAATCAAGCTATTATCAACGATGCCTCCGATCAGTAGCTGATCAGGCCGACACAAATTGACTTGAAGGGATACAATAAAGAGCTCGTTTGTTCTCCATTGAAGGAATTGGGGACTGTCACTCGTGCTAGCCGCGTCTTTCACAATCTTCCCAATGTTACGTATGGCCATATGAACACTCTTGGTTTGGCTTTGCGTCAGGATGTGGAAGGGGTTCGGGTCAGAATAGCTGGGTGGCATCTGGTAGTAGCACCGTGTGAAGTCCCGCACCAAAGTATCTAGATTTGCCAGCACGTAGAATGCTGCGATCGGAGATGCTTCAAGGACAGAGGTTAAATCGGTTCCGGGAGCTTCAGTCATGAGTTGCTGCGTCGCCATTGTCAGGGAAGCTGCTGCTAATCCGCGAGGCTGGTGGAGTAGATCGTTGGTAAACGTCATAGCAGAGACACCGAAATATTCGCTGAATCTCCGAATCCATATTTCAGGGTCTTTAGCCTCCCAGAGTTTGGTTGGGAAAGGAAGCTCCCATCGCAATTCCATTGCAGACATCAATGGCCGGGAATTGCAGGGTACGAAAACGTGTGAGTCTAGAAAGAGCAGCGTGTAGAGCGCTATTCGCGTGGACTCTGCGGTTATATAAGAGGTCCATCGAGTATACACGGTTTGCGGTTGCTCTGTGTGCGGATAGTCGATGTCATACAACCAAGATCGTGACTCTGGCATGACAATTTCTTGATGTGAGAGACCGACCTCGCGTACAGCCTGAGTTTCGATGAGCCACAGTTCGACAGCACAGCAGACCATGGAGGAGAGCTTGAACCAACATCAACAATTTGTCGCAGCATGTCCCGTGCTGTCCGGAACTGGGATGCTTCGCCTGCATAGACCCCATATATCATGTGAAGTATCCAGGCTTGCACCACCCAGGGTTTTCGTATATTACCGCACTCATTGGAAATCTATCTCGACATTGATTAGTATCCCAGCACATAAAGCCTAGAATGAACGATGTCTCATGTACCATATTTCGAAGTTCCTGTTGTCCACTTTGCCACGTATCCCGACGCCAGTGCACACGTGCTTGGGCTTCTTCATCGTTGTATACAACTTTCGAGCATAAGCTGCCTATCACAGTCACCGCTTTGAGCAATAGCTTTGGTGCCGATGATACTGTAAATGTAGGCCGATGCAACAATGGCAGAGACGGATGAAAATGCTCAAAGTAGTTCTTGACATTTACTTCCATGTCATAGTTGCCCCGATCAGTGAAGCTATGGTAGTTAGGAACGTTCCCCGCATGCATGGCTCGTTAGAAGACATACATTGGCGAGGACATTATGTATTCTCGAGAAAGATTGGTAGCAAAGGAGCTATGTTCCTCCCAGAAGTCATCATGAGGTACGGCATTTGCAGTCAGCGCCTCGGTTGGGGTCAAGATATCGGTCGCAGCTACAAGTGGGTTCGTGTCAACGACTGGCTGGCAACTCTGCTGCAGCCTTGTTTGCGGCGGAGATACATGACTAGTAGATGCTTCTGCCTGGCAACGACCCCGGTGCCTTCTTAACACGTCACTAGGAGCTGGTCAGTAAGGCTAGCGCAAGGTATCTGTTGCAAGAATGAAAGAGACCTTCTAGTAAAAGCCGCATGACAGCCATCGCATTCGAAATCATGGCCCAGGGCACGATGATGACCTAAATAGACAGCAATCACTATATGAAGGTCTGTTTCACTCCTGAAATCTCAGAACTTACGAGCGCGCTTATGCCGTCGCAGATTCTCCTGTGAACATGATTTTGGCATGAGATCTAGGTAGTCGAGGAAAATGCATATTACTTACATTTCTGGTGAATGTTTTTGGGCATTCATCACATGGGAATGGTCGACGTGAACTGGGAGCCTGGCTCTCTGCTGGGCGCTTTCCGTGATCACCCGCCATTTCAGAAGCTATCAACATCCAATGGTTTTCTGGATGGTATCACGTGTGTTCAGCAATATACACGTTTGGTGATTGATATAAAAAAGGGGGGCTGGAGGCCAATTGAGCCTCAGGCAGATTACCCCCTCTTCTCTCCAAAGATCACATGACCGTTATCAGCACAATTCCTGACTCGGAGCAGCTTTGTTCCGAGGTCAGTCTTATCAGTGGTGCGGAGTACGGAGTAGGTAGCTACGGAAGATACCAACCCGTCTTAAACTAGAGATACTGACAACGCACCTGGCAACAAGGTACAGTCCTAGTTAAAGTTCTCTAATGTAATGGATCGTAGTTACTATACTACTAATGGCACAACTAATGCATAGCTCTGCCGTAGAATCCAAATTATTTGCACGCTATATATTCACATGTCACCACAGTGCAGTACATACTTATACCACAGTGTTAGCATTATTGGTATGTGTTTACAGGTGAGGAACGTAATCTTCCCAACTAACAGTCTGAAAAGCCGAGGCCGGCAGACTGCGTAGACCGATGAAGTCCTCCACCAAGATATACGTCCGCCCCACGCAGTACAGAGCACAAATTATCGAGGTTGGTATGAGCACTCGTAGTGGGAGCTCTGCCTTGGGATCGTGCGTCGGGTCAATATTGCGTATCTTGTTCGCAACACGGGCCCAGAACCCTTGGCTAGGTGTTTTGAGAGGAGGGGAGAAGGAAGGAGGGTGATTTCCCACCTGCGAACCCCTTGGCGACGGCGACGGCGACGCTATCCACGGAATGCGCTGTTTGCGTTCCTCATACGCGCGGGGAAGGAGGATCTTATCACAGTAGCCAGCGTGCAAGCCCCCGACCACGGTGAAGAGGAGGTTATAGACACTGGCGGTCCGCCAGAGAAGTCGCTCCGCACGGGTCGGGTAATGAAAGTCCCAGGCAAAGAGAAACATAGAGCCGAAGAGAAGAAGCACAGGCGTGGCGATGCAGTCCGCCCGCAAATCGGTCACGGGAAAGTTATCACTGATAATCCGGTTCTGCGGCCGGGCGGTCATGGGCCGCGAGACGAGTGGCAGGTGCAGGTTGCGGAGTATTTGCGTGTAGTAGCGCCAGTGCACGCCGCAGAAGGAGATGTCGGCATAGACAAAGTCTAGCGGGGTATCGTGCCAGGGCTGGTCTGGATAGAGGCAGTGCTATCACACCGAACATGGAATCTGGTTAGTGTGTTCGCTGGATGGGTGCGCTAGCTTCCATCGACAGTTGTTGGTTTCTCACGAACCTCTGCTCGAATAATATCAACTGGGGTCCCTGTTTTGATCGGGATAGTACCGGTTATGTCGGACGGTTTGGCACGCCAGCAGAACGATGTTACCAGAAAGACGACCACGTAAGATATGGTTGTGAGCTCGAGGGTAGTCAGGAATAATCCCTGCGCCACTCGAAGAGCGCTATTAACGAGAAACCACAACCCCTGACAGACGGCGAGTACACTGCAAGCCCCTATTATTAGTCCATGGATCATTTGGGCCTCTACCACCAAGCACAGGTTGTCCGCACCGTGAGAAGCTGTCTGACTTGTTACGATCATTGATCTCGTCTTCTGTTAAGGGTGGGTGTTTGATGTAGTTGTTCGCTATCAAAAAATAGAGCTGTTCAGCATTGACGGGGAAAGACGTCGCATTTCCCTCTTCTTCGAGGATAAAGCCTCCCATGTCGGCATAGAAGGCATGTGCAAGGGTCCATGAGGGTGTATTTGGATCCGTGGAATTTCTCGTCAGTTGCTCGAATTTCTAGACTCTGAGAGCTTAACGGGCCATTCATGCGAGCGTAGAGATCTGGTTCAGCGCTACGAAAGCAGGGGATTTGCCTTACCTTTACTGATGCCCGGGCTGAGGACCACTGACCCAGCGCCAGCATGAGCAGAAACTCGGGTCCCAACACTCCAATGGAAGCCAAATGTAACCGGTCTCGTAGACGGTGATACCACTTGTCAGTCCGAGCAGGTATATTGGGAAGGACTGCTGTCCAACAGCAGAGAATAATAGTCAGTAAACAAGTCGAAAGAATACTCCACGATCCCCGTCCATCCGGCTCAGTAACCCAACCTTGGCGGGTAGAGGCTGTGAAATTATCGGCCATCAAAATACGCGAATTGAGGCAGCTGAACTCGGTCAAGAATCTCTTCAAGGCCATTTCTCAGAGTCAGCGTGTAGGATGGGCGGGTGTCCTTATTAAAGGCAAAATACCCCTGTAATCCCGTGATGCTAGTAGGGCGAACGCAGCCGCCCGATTGGGCAACATCTGTGGCTGTGAGTGTTAGAGTACGCGCCCAAACGAACATTAGTACAAAGGCTGTGCAATACAGCGGTCCGAGTGGTGGAATGGCCAGAGACGATGTTGTTTAACAGCCACAACCACTTTCGTACATCTTATTCTGGTACATAATAGCATGATTGCAGAGACATCCGAGATTAGACTTTGCGTCCTGGTACTAGGTACGGGGAGGGACCGGGCCGGACCGTACCCATGCGCTCATGAGGAGGATATGGGATCTATGAGTAGAAAGCAACATCATCGCTTCTCATTCGGATTGGAAGTGCCAAGCACGATGAGTCTAGTTAGCAATGCAAGGGAAGGCTTAGTTGAGCATATTCAAACGATGAGCGCGAGGGTCACTTCTACCCTCACTGGGTCAGAATCTGCGCCTTACTATCCCTATTTAAGTTTACGCAGGCGTGGCCACGCATGTTGTTTGGTCATTGGCATGTGTAGTAGCAGGCACTTATAAAGATTTGAGGGTAAATAGTGTCCTTGATCAGCCAAGAACTGCATCTGGGTGGATAAAATAACATACAACAGAAGGGATTCGCTGGTGGTCACCCACCCAACTACTAACCTCCCGGCGTGTGGCTTAAGTACGGCTGAGCGGACGGGAAGCCCTGTTTTCCACACCCTGTGGTCGTATGTGCTTATACCTAATCTAAAAAGGTATAGGTAGTGGTATTTGCTAATCTGGCGGTCCGAGGGGAAATGTAAAACGTCTCGAGCCAACCGGCTTCAGGTTATCTCCAGGTCCTGCTCCAGGCGGCCTCAGCGTGGATTTTGTGGAGGATTGGGAAGGGTGGCGCTCGATGAAAGGGCCGCTGTCGTTGCGCAGCCCTACGCATAATCTCTGCCACCAATCCCTCGTCTTCACTGGCGTTCAGCACCAGGGTCCGCAAACGAGTCAAGCGGACGAGGAGGATCGCCGCCCAGGCCTCTGTGTTTAGGTTGTATAGATGCACTCTCCACCCGCGTTTGAGACTCGGTTGCTGATCGCCAAAGATCTCGGTCAGAGCGTGCTCGATGAACACCACGGCTTCAGGCTGCTGGGCATTGAATGTCCCATGGCGTCGCCTTGCCCTGGCAGATCCATCCCACAGGACCTCCAACCGACGCACGCGACAAGCGAGCGCTGGATTCTTCCAGAGTCGCATGATCAGAGCGATATCCCGGGCCGTTGTGGGATTCGCGGTAAGAAGGATGTCGGAGTCAAGTAACGGTTGAAAGACATGATGGAACCGCTTGGAGCATAGACACAGCGCCCGCACGGTTCTTGAGCGGTATCTGCCCTCCCGACTGTATTCGCCGATAGAGGTAAGCAATTCATTTGGCAGTAGCTCCATGATATCTGATGCTTGTGAGTCCCATATTTCGTGAGCGAGATTGGGTGAATAATGTGTTGGAACGAAATGGATAAAGAGTACATTAGAAAACGCGGGGGATTCACAAAGTCACATGACTGTTCTCGGAGTACAGACTGCTGCTCCACCATGGCCGGCAGCAGTTGAGTGGTATTTTTGCCTGCCCCACCTTACTTGTTTGTATATGTGTTTGTCCGTGTTTGTCTGTGCTTTTCTGCGTGTGTTTGCTTGTACCGTGGACGTTTGATTGGGCTACCCTCACCGAGTGCAAACTGTTCAAATCCAACAAACAGAATAATTGTATGGCTAGGTATAGATATAGGTAGTAATCATCCGCCATGCTCACCAAAAAGTCGAACAGACTGTAAAGAACGATAGGAACTGGAATATGGAATAGTCTTCTTCTCCCTTTTTTTATATTTTATCATCTCTGGTCTCTGTCTCCTCCCAGCATCCACTTCATTCACTTGTTGTTTATAGTTCAAACAACAAGATCCATCCGTGACTGCAACCAGCATGCCGAATCGTATCGCAGTGTATGGCCATCGGGGTTGGATGGGATCTGCAACTGTTTAGAGACTGAGCGAATTGTTCGCTGTCGTTAAGGTTCTTTATCGGCCAGACTCCAATGCCCAAGGCTTGCGATGAGAAGGCTCCGGTTGCTGCTCTCCGGAATGTCCAGATTCTCATGTGAAATGCCCTTGCTGTTTGATGAAAGATTGCACGATTCACAGAAATGACTGGACGACTATAGCTCTTTGGTCGGCCACTCTGCGATCGACTGCCAGTACGATCTGATCAGAGCTATCCCGAAGACCAAGATTCAATTGTTTGTTCCTTCCAATCTCGCCGTCCATTACCGCAGGCAGGGACTAGGGACAGAGCCCATCAGTGCCAAGATCAAAGTAGGAGAGGCAGCGGAGAGGCTGGGCGTGCCAACAGCAGTCGTGCTGACCGGCAACTTCGCGGAATTTGGGCTTGATACACCGTAAGTAGACCCCTTCCCCGCCCTGTGTTTGGGCCAGAAAAACAAGGGGCTGGCGGCTGACATCTGTCTACGGAGTCATGGTGGTGGACTGTAGGCATAATCGCATTATTTTCACAGGAAACAGTGCATCACAGCCACTGAATCTATGGTAATCCCCGCCTTCAACGCCGTTCCCTAGCTGCCACTGATTGAACTCCTCCGTTTAGTACCTGTGAATATGTTGCAGCAGCCTTTGCGTCAATCTTTAGCACCACGCCAACCCATCGGCTTCAGCATCGCACCTTCAGTCTATCGGAACTGACACCCACCGGGGACAAGATCGCACAAGCGCTTGACCAAAGGTTCGGAGCGACTTCAGCGAAGCACACGGGTTCTATTGAAGAGGTCACTCGCCGGGTGAACGCCATGATCGAGGCCAACGACCCACTAGCGCTTGCCTGGTACACGCGTAAGAACTGTGGAAATGGCGATCAGCTAAGATTTCTCGGGTCGAATATGTCGGAGATGGAGGGTTATGAGACAAAATCCATTGAGGACTTGCTGGTGGCAGAAAACTCGGAAAGTATCGGGCTCGGCCGGAAGAGGTCACCAAGATCTTTGAGCCTGAATTTAATGACTGTAAATAGGCTTGGATGGCTGGGAGATTCAAAGATATGCATGTCTTCACTCTAATGCAAATCATATAGTACATATTTCTCATTGCAAAGTTATCTACACATTTGGTTTTTATCAAGCAGAAACTACGTGGGAGTGGGCGAAGAGCAGTACGGGTGTTTGTTTATCTAAGTAGCTATACTTGAACTACTTTTTAGTTTCTATGTAGTTGGATAGGCAGAGACTAGCAAGCTGCTTGTGTGGCGTCTTATAACTATTTGGGCGTTGAGTAGTTGGTGGACGGTCGTGGCGGAATGTTTTCGCTGCCATATAGCATATGTCTAACTGTTTCATGACCTTGATATTCAACAGACCGCAACCCATCGGCAGTCACTTGACTGATAGATCTCGTCCGAGACAGATACTAATCTTCGTATAGACTACGCGAAGCGCTTTACTAGAGCTGTGGAGTTTACATAGGAGGAAGTCTCTAACATGCCCATCTAAGCAACAGATACATAGTAGCATGGCAGCTAACTCCATAGAGCAACGCAAATGGTCTACTGGTTGATAACGCCGAAGAAAGTAGAACCAAACAGGCTGCTGATGAGGGATTCAATCAAAACCATCATCTGCCTTGTCCGCGTGCAGAGGCCTCTAAGCAACTAATTCTTTTGCCTGTATCAAAAACCAGAGCATGGGAAGCAGGGTTTGTTCGCTCAATTTAGATCTCCCGTGGGAGAGTCTCGTTTTAGCTTGAGCTGCCATATAGCCCCATGTTCAAGTTCAACACTTTCAAGTCGAAGGCACAGCGACAGAGACAGAAAAACCGGCAAGACTCGGTTTATCTAGAGCCCAGTCAAGGAGATCCTGTATATGAAGAATTAACTGCCAGCATAATCCATCTCCCAGCCAATCACCCCCCCAGCAACTTCATCATTCACTGCCTGTACCATCTTTGATATCAACTTACTTTCCCTCCATAACTGGTGATAGTGAATGTATCGTGAGATAGTGTCGGCGCTCAAGGATTATAATGGCCTCAACACTTCGTCTCTTGTTCTCTCCATCTCCCACACTCTCTCCTCCTCTCATTCTCTTCACTTCTCCTTCCTCCTTCCATACCGTATGGCAACTCCAACTCGACAGAAACCATGAAGCTCTCCATCTTGTGGTCTGTCTTCAGCCTCGCTGTCGCTGCTGGCGTTGCAGTCGGCGATTCTCCATCTCTTTCTGATGCCACCATCGTCGAGACGACCAACCTAGCGACGAGCATCTCCTGCGTCACCTATCACACGTTCGTGACACATACTTACACTGTCAAAAAGGGAGCAACCATCTCGCAGACTGGCAGCGTCACTTCGTCCGTTCCCGTTGCTGTTACCTCTACAACCTCGAAGACCTCCAACGGACCTGCGACTTCGACTCAAGGTGTTCTATCGACTACTAGTGGGCCTAATATCTCAAAGACCTCCTCGTCTACCGCTACGTTTCCCGTCTTCCCTTTCCCCTTTACTCTGTCTTTGCCAGGGATCGGGATCTGGCCAGCGGTCAAAACCTCCTCGACCTCAAACCATGGAACGGCGCCGACTGGTGGAACTCACAGCAGCGGAACCTGGCTTTCTACTGCCGAGCCTCAGTCTTCTCGTGGAACGTCTAGTGTTAAACAAGCTTCCACAAGTAGTACCACCGACGTAACGGGGAGGACCAGTTCCGCGCAAAGCAGTACTAAGCCCAGTGGGGGCGCGACCACTGGGACTGCGCATGCTAAAATTACAGGTGATGGAACGGGGATCATCAGTACCACCCACACTAGAGCATCAAGTGTCACTGGCCCTGCCGGTGTAACGCTCACCCAGCCACCTTCCATAACTACCAGCCTGCCTCCAAGCCCTCTGATTACCTCCAGCGCGTCCGTCATTGCCGTCCGCTTTCACAACGTCGTCACAATTATCACATTCTGGGAACTGAGCCCCGAGCCACGGCCAGATAAACAAGTCATCGACAACGTCAAGCGAATCAAGGATGATATTGCTGATCTGGCGAAGACCATGGGCGAGAAGCTCCCAAAGTGCAATCAAAAGAAGCGCGGTCTGTTTGACGGTCTTCTGAACCTCGCCGGAGACACCACCAGCCAGATTTTGGATAAGTTCGGTTGTCTTGACAACAAACTGGATGACCTTGTGGCAAGAATCAAGAACAAGGACGTCAAGGGTGTCAAAGACATCGTGAAGGCTCTGGACATTGAAAAGCCCCCTGCTGACCCTAAAACCTCGGCGACTAACGGACCTGGCAATGACAATAAAAGCTCCAGCCGCTCGTCCTCGTCCTCGTCATCGTCGTGTACCTCGCAGTCAACCGCACACCATGTCAGGATCCTCTGCCAGCCAACCTCTATCACTACCGGTGGCTCGACGTTTACAACCACAACATGCACCCGGACTACTACCATCACCACCACGGGATGCTCTGTCACCGCAACGACGACCACAATCACCAACACTCCGAGCTCCACTCCGACGAGACGCCTCTGCGCACAGGAAAACTGCGGTGCTGCATGCTTAGCCGGGAAGGGGGGGTGGGTGTCAATCTCATCGGTGGAATGTGCCTCTATCCCAACCAGTACTGTAGGAGCACTGCCTACGGGCAACGGGGGAAGAATCCATCGCCGGTATAGCTCTCTTGGCAAGGACACAGGAGTCGAATCATCCAATCAGACCTATACCTTTGGCAAGCGAGCCCTACAGGATCTTTCCGCCGTGGACCCAAACCACTATCTGCCCAAACTCAACCACGCTATAACCCAGAACGACCACTGGGCTAGCCAAAGCGAGCCAGTGACGGGCAAATGGTATCGCTGGCCTGATCTGCAGGCCGCGCTTGGCGTGAAGGGCCTCCACGGCTGCACTGTGCTGATGATCGTCGCGAAAGAGGGCGTCTACCTCTCGCACATCTTTGAGTCCCCCATTTTCCGCACCCTGACCGAGCCCGATGTAGCCGACGACTTTTTCATGGAGCAAACGTTCACCGCACTGAGTACCGGGCGTACCGGGCCTGCCGGAGTGGTCAACAATCAGATCGAACGCCTGCAAGGTCTATGGGGAACGGACGCCAACCCCGGCCCCCTGCATCGCACCAACAACCCCCAGCTCATCATCATCACCCCTTTCTTGCCCGAATGGCAACCCCAGGAATATATGTACGCTCGCCGAGTCAAATGGCTCGCTGCCCAGTTCAACCGATTCCTCTACTTCCCCACCGGGGGAGCTCCCGCAGATAAAGCCCCGATCATCCGCGGTTACGAGCCGACCGATTTCTGGCAGTCCAACAATGATGATTCCTCCGTGGGGAAAGTCGTGATAGAAGTCGACAAGTACAACAATTTCCTGCAGGCGGGCAATCACCTTCTGGCTGTGGGTCAATGGCGGCTGTGGTTGTGTGGGCAATATGTCATGGACTACGACTTCTGGGATCCGGCGGCGATTCTTCAGCCTGTTGCTCAGCCGCAGGGGCATATGCAGCGGCGAGATCGGTGCCCGGGGCGTTTCATTTCTCTTCATCCTACGCTGGTGACTTCGACAAAGACTGCCGCTACGGGCACCAAAAGCTCGTCCACTACCAAGTCGGCTACAGCCACACCGACACCTCAGATAAGCGATCAGACCTGCCTCCCCAACAAAGACTTCCACCAACCACTCGACTCCCACATCGTCGACACTGTCGCCTCTCTCTGCTGGCGCGGCACCCAGATCCCCTCCATCGATTTCGAGATGGGACCCGATAGCAAACCACTCACATGGTCCTCGGGCAGCCCCACGATGACGAACTGGCAGTACCATGTCACGATCACCTGGGTGAAGGGATGCAAGGGACCAAAGCAGAAGCCCATTGCGCCGACCGGGCAAGAGGGGACCAAGTACACCTGTGAGAATATTGTCAAAGATAACTTCAGCAAGTGCGTGGTTGATCATCGCAGCTACGGTGGGAGTAGGGTGTTTGGGTGCTTGGAGTATCGGGGTTGGATGGAGCATTGATTCTTAGGCTTAGGCCAGATTCTTGTTCTTACCTGGGCTGTGGTTGGAAGCTCATGTCGGCTTACATGCTGTCAATCACTTTGTCCTTCCCAATCGCTTCCTGTACTCTACACCTTCAGCAGACTTAGGAGTTGATTGGTTAACCTGTGTATTTTATTCGATGATATCTAGCTAAGAGCATAGGGTCTCCATCACGATGCCTGAAGCCTAGTAATAGCATACCTTCTGTGAGATAACACAAGAGGTTTTTTGAATCACGGGTCGAAAGGATAACATGATATATTTCATAACAAAAGGACGACTGCTCTAGCAGTTCTGGACTTGATCAAGCTCTTTAGCACCGAGCCCAAGAAGTATAGTATTGTAGCAACGAACGTTGATGTTGTAGAGAAGATGTCAATGTCAGGGCTAAATTGAGACTCCGATCGCGGAAAGCATTCCGCCCTGCTGAATCAGCCGCCGTCAGCTCTGACTCACCAGCCCCAAAAATCACTAACATTTACTAACCTCACTAATGAAATGAGTTGAAGAAATTTACTCTCCCTAGACATAACTCCCATAGTACAATATTCTCTGGCTTTCATTTTCCAAAATGTCTGAATCCACTCCCTCCCTTGACACCAGTCCAGCCATCCGGCCGACCCGCACCCCCTTCGCAGGCCGTTCCGTGCGCGTTGAACCCCTGGCCGAGCAGCATGTAGACGATCTATACCACCACATTGGCCAGCCCGAACACACCTCGCTTTGGGACTACCTCCCCTTCGGACCCTTCGCGGACAAGCCCACCTTCACCCAGTTCCTCGACACGCTAATCACCCATGCCGACAGCGTCTTCTACGCGGTGGTCGACCTAACCCGCAACCAAGCCGTCGGCCTGCTCAACTTCATGCGCATTGACCTGCCCAACCGCGTCGTGGAGATCGGGTCGGTGGTCTTCTCCCCCCTGCTGCAGCGCACGACGGCCGCGACGGAGGCGTTGTACTTGCTCGCGCGGGCGGCGTTTGAGCAGTTTCACTTTCGACGGCTGGAGTGGAAGTGCAATGACCTGAACGCGGCGTCGAAGCGGGCGGCGGTGCGGTTGGGCTTCACGGCCGAGGGGGTCTTTCGACAGCATCTGATTGTCAAGGGGAGGAACCGCGATACCGCTTGGTTCTCGATTCTGGATGGCGAGTGGCCCGCGATAAAGGGGGGCTTTGTGAAATGGTTAGACCCGAGTAATTTCGATGGGGAGGGGCTTCAGCGGGCGCGGTTGGAGGCTTTGCGCGGACTGTAGGCAAGGGTCCAGTCCAGCCCTTCTCCATTTCTTTCCTTGTTGGACTTAGAGGCAATCTCGGCTCGGGGACAGTGGCAACCGTTTGGGAAGAATCGGAGACCCTGGATGAGATATGGTGACATTGCCACTAGGTAGATAGGTACTATCGAATTAATATAGCATCAATCTTAGCTCCGGTGGTCTTCTTGGCAGGTGTTGGTAGAGAAAATCCCTTTATAAAGAATTGCGACACTTTACACTTCACTCATTGTCCATTGTATGGGAACTCCTGTCTGTCTTGCTTTTTCTTTTAACTTTTTTTCTCCTTTTCTCTATACAATTCTGATCTCTCCTTTCCATCTGCACTGCGCGGACGAGCAAAAAGCCTTTCCTCTTGTCAACGTTTACCTTATCTTGCCGTGGAAACCTCGGCTGCACGAAACAGACCATTTTTGCTAGCTTCTCCACCAGACCCTGAAAAGTCCGCCGTCCTTCGTCCCTGGCGTCTTGGCTGTGCCTAGCCGTTAGTTACTTAGCGAAGTCTTCCTGTGTCAGCACGTTAGGTTAGTTACTCTTTATCTCTACTTAACCCCCACGCATCGAGGCGCACGACACGATTGGTACCGCATATTGGAATGCAACTTAAGAATTCAGCTCGACATTTGGCAAAAATCAAATTAAAAAAGTATAGTACATTTCTAATATAGGTTGCAAGAGTTCTAGCCCCTCACTAATCTAGTCGACGTGAATCCGTCGCAGACACCGGTCCGACTTGCCCGTAAACGAGCTGCGCGTATGCATCGTCGTCACATTATCGCTGATCAGCCAGTCGCCTTCCTCCCAACAATGCCAGTAAGCCACGCGACGATCGTGCAGCAGGCTATCGAGGGCTTGGCACAGTTCCTCCGAGTTGGGCACATCCTGGATGGTAATCTTGGTCGGGTCAAAAACAGTCTTCTCTTGCGGCCACGGCTCGTGGTAGCGGAGACAGGGACGCTGGTGCGCAAAGTGATCCACCACGAGAGGGAGATCGGTGATCTTGGTGTGGTCGAAGGAGACAGTTTCGACCGTCCAGGACAGAGTGCGCAGGTATTCGATCGAGTATTTAGATGGTAGATAGTGCCAGACCAGGTGGGAGGGGGAGAAGAGGGTGAATCCAGTGTCTTTGGGCGAGGGGGTCATTCCCGTGAAGAATTGGTATCTGGTGCAGTGGCCATGGAATGAGTATGGCTGTTCGTTAGGACCGTAGGCAGTGACTTACTTCGGAGGACAGGATCGAACAACGTCCTGCCCATCTGCGTCTTTCATCTTGACAACCTTGAACAGGCCATCGTAGTGGAACGGCATCCACTCCGACGAGAGAACATTGTTCAAGCCCTGGGTATCGGTGCCGTGGTCCTTCACCTCGAGGATGAGGCCGAATTTCCACCCAACGGGAGTCCCCATCTCCTCGGCCTTTTTCACGAAAAGCTCCCGGTCGCGTGTATCCTGGAATCCCCGTAAAATGACGGGGGAATTTTCTTCTACCAGAGCGCGAAGCTTACGCATGTCCACTTCTGCGCAAGACATGGGTTGCGTAGGTCGGATGATCAGGCCACAAGGGTACTGAGGCTCAATTTCCACGGGTTGTGGCCAGGAATATAGATCTGACTTGTAGCGGTAGGACCACGGCTGTCCTGCCTTGTAAACCAATTCAATATTGGGGTTGTGGTCGAATGACTGGCGTAGGCCATATTCCACGCGGCCGTCAAGGGTGAAGCACGGCGTTGAGTGCCAGGGTGTCACACAATAACGAGCCAGAGGCAAAATCTGGACGGAGATTTTGGCTGAGCCGCATGACGGGTGAATCGACAGTCGAACATGGTCCGGGTAGTTCTTCTTGATCGCCTCTGCGAATGCCTGGATGCCAAATTCAAAATTAAGTATCAGCACACTACCAGCACACTACCAGCACACTGTGGTCTAGGTGGTCTGTCTTACCTTTCCACGAGCAATCATTTGCTTAGCAATAGCCTCGAGCTTCTGCTTGTGAGACTTTCTCGATACCTCGCCCCCTTCCACAAAGGTATGTTCCAAATCCTTGGCCAGAAACTTGATATATCCTCGGTAGGTGGTGCATACATCCTCGTCGGCCTTGATACTCTCGACACAGTCGTAATCCAGGGGCGTGAAATTGTCAATCAACCGCTGACGAAAGGCGCCTGCCAGCTTTTCGTAGGTGGTAGCGTCAAGGGGAGTGTCGATTTTCCAGTGGACGAGGTCCCGGAGACGAATGAACTGGAGGTATCGGTAGCCCTGCGTCTGGACCATTTTCCGCAGCGCCTCGCCGTACGTATAAACCTCCGCGTCGGGAACACCTAGCAGGTCTACCCCCTATGAGTCTTATCCACGACCAACATGTCCCTCGAGAGTTTCGGTTAAACTTACCATTATACACCAGGCCGTCGGAAGCGATGGTCAACTGAGCCCCTGGTTCGTAAATGTCCGCGATCGCCGCGCATAGTCCGTTGAGATGGGCCAAGGCAAGGTCCTCCCCTTTGTCCGGTAAAGACCCAAGAACTTTGTCTTTTCGATTAGGTGACTTGAACGGGAAAGCAGGTAGGATCAAGGAGACTGGTTTGCCTGCTCTCACGCGAGTGTAGATCAGGGATAGGAACTTCAGAGTCCCCTCGTCGCTCCGGTCCACCAGCGATGCTGGAACGGGCATGCGATACCGGTAGATGACGTTCAGAATCTCCCACGCCTTGTGGAGGGTAGCCAGGTCAAAGATCGGCTCTGCCCCGACCGAGGTCAGGGTCGATTGAACGATGGGAGGCTGCACCATGACTACGCTCATCTTGGGCGATTGCTATGACGCGATTCAATGTCGAGCGCTGAGCAGTTGGTGATGATTTATATTGGTGAAGTCCTCCCTGCTTGAGGTCCAGCGAGACATTTAAAGCCATGTGAGCCTGTCAAGAAAAGGAACCTGATTCTATCCCGACACTAGTAGTTCCGAGTATTGCATGAGGCTGCATCATCGGCTCAATTCCGCATTCGGAACATGGATGACTTGGTCAGAATCCCATTGACTACCTTAGTATCTAGATCAGGGGGCTCGCTCATGCAATCACTCCCTTAGTGGATGTAACCTCATCTCCAACATGGTCAGAGTGACAAGGGTTATGGTACGATAGGAAGATAGTAAAACTGGTCAAAATGCGTCTCGCACCCGTGCCAAGCCAAGTAGTAGGGCTGGGCTGAAGAACTTGGCAGCCTAATGGTCGAGTCGATATCCACTATACATCTACTATATCAAGTAAGTGAGTAACTCCAAGTGGAACCTGCATTACTGAAGTGAAACAGATGCAATGCCCGATTCCCACTGCCGATGCAGGGACCGATGCTTCATCATTCGCTCTGGACCCTCTCATGGCCCACTTCTCGGCGGAGACTTTTCACCCATAATTCTCCCGGTTATTGTTCGCCTTTCGTGGTTCGTGCTTGTTCTTCCTGAGCCCTGGTCTGCGCGCTGGTGGCGCCATTGCTTTGAGCATTTCTTAGCCTTGCGGCTGAGACATACCTAATCTATCTTGTCCTCCTGCACTTCAGATGCATTTCTAAGCGCGGAATTGATCCATGTAATGGGAGTTGACTAGTCGCAATGCTTGTCATCTTTTCTGCATCTCAGGGGAACGAGGCTACTATGTTCGAGCAGAGAAGCATGGCGCCACGAATTGGGATGGATGCTAATTGTTCGATTCTCTATTCACTTTTACCCCCTGATCCTCGTCTACTTTA